CCGGCGCCCCGCCGCGGGGCTGGAGAAGGCCGGGATGCCGCGGCACGGCGGGCGGGGGCTCTGTCCGGCCTGTCTGGGAAATCTCAGCAGCGGCGTCCTGACCTGAACCAAAGCTCCAGGCATCTGCGGCCCACTCGGGCTCTTGGAAGTTAGAACGCTCCCGAGTTCCCCCGAGGTGTCGCCGTGCCTGCCCCGTGCCTCCCAGCTCCGGAGGGTCTGCCGGCGTCCCAGGCCACAGCGCGCAGGCTCAGCCCCCAGGAAGCCGAGTTTGTCGCTCTTCACTGTCCTCGCCTAGCCTCGCCTTTCAAGTCCCCCGTTCCCAGGCGGCTCCGCACCCCCAAGTGGGCGAAAGAGCCTGAGGCGCTTGACTTCTATAGGTGGAGGCGAGGGCCTGTCCCAGAGCCAGCAAGCCAAGAGGCCTGCCGAGGCCTGCAGGCTCGGGTTTCTGCAATGGAGGCTCGGAATGCAACAGGAAAGGCCTCTTCTGCGCCTCCTGGGAAGGACCCTCGCACCAAAGGACTCAAGCAACAAAAAGCAAGCTCGCCTGGCTTCCCAGAGATTCGAACAGCGAGGGCCAGGGTAGGCCGGAGGCTCACAGAAACCAGGGTCTACCCTGCGTGCGGGTCACGGTTAATGTGCCTTCTCTCCTCCCTTTGCCCCAGCTCTAAGCATTTCTCCTTCTCTCTTTTTGTTCACCTTCATTTTGCCATCATTTTACAAACGGCAACACCCAAACCAAAACAAACGGACAAAGTGAGAACAACGGACTTATTTAGTGGGGTGGGGGCGGAGGCGGGAATGGCGTTCCACTTGAGTGTGACTTCATTATCAGTCCTCAGAAGTATCACCGACTCTCCCAACTTTCAAAGACTCGGGACAATGAGAGCAAGCGAGGGGGGAGGGGGAAGGAAGCAAGCCACGTAGCGCCAAAAACTCTGCAGGCGAAAAGCACACCGGAGGCGGGAGAACCCCGAGGTACCGCACTGCCTCAAGGGCCGTTCCCAGCCTAAGCCCTTGGAATCCGCAGCACCGAGCCACGCAAAGGCGGGAACTGAAACGGCCAGGGAAGATCCGAGCACCCCGGCCCAGCTTGCCCAGCACCGGCTCAGGCCTGAACATTCTTGGGTTCCGCTGGCACCGTGCAGGCGAAAGCCCTGGCATCCACACGGAGTTGTACACTCCAGCTTCTGGGGATGGATTGAAATCTGCTGTCGCTTAGCGAGCCGTGGGAGGGCCGCAGCTGAAGAAGTTTGAAGGAGAGGAGAGCGCAGAGAGCAGGCCGCGCGCTCCTGCCTCTGCTGAGCTCCCGCTCGAAAAGTCCTTGGGATTAGGGATTTGGTCCTCTTTTTGCTAGAGTGGTTTGCCATACTTTAAATTCCCCAGTTATGACCTACGCGGATTTAGGATTAAGGAAAATGTGACTTTTAAATTGTTTCTGCTTCCCAGTTTGCAGGATTATTTGAAACAGCTAGAAACGGGGTGCAAAGCATTCCATTCAAAATCCGCTTTGCACAGAGTTGCTTTTGCGCGCTGGAGCTCGGAGTTTTGAGCGAATGTGTTATTGTGCTGCCGCCAGGAGTTTCAGCCTAGTTCCGCCCATTGCACCCCCCTCACCCCCAGCACCTGGCGGCTAAATGGAGGCAACTCACCAGACTGGTGGGTTGCATGGGTCTCAACCTTCCTAACAAACCAGAGAGAGGGGGAATGTGGCAATCAAGAGGCAACGAAATTGCTCTCTTCTCACCACGAAACGCGCCAGTTCAAGGTCTACAAGAAACTGGGACAACGCGCACATGCCGCTGGAGTCCCTCTCTGGGGCTCTGAGCCGCAGGGCTCCGGGCAAGACCTCCCGGCCTCCCCGCCAGCCCGCCCGCCCCAGGCTGCACGCCCGGGCCCCGCGGCGGCCCTAGAGGTACCCACTTGTTGATCCCGCCGGCTTGCTCATGTTGGCGGTCCCGGGGCGGAGTGGTTGATGGGCGCCGCCCGAGTCCCGGCCGGCAGCGCCCGCTTCTCCGCCGGGCGCCGCCGCTCTCCAGCCACCCTCCAGCCTGCAAGGCTCCCGGGCCAGACAGGTGGGTGTCGGTCGCGCTCTGCGCCACTCCCGGGGCGCTCAGAAGTCGTTCCACAGTGGAAATTTAAGCATCCTTAAGTTTCTTCCCGGTTCTTGCAAAACTGCCGCTGCTGGGAATACTGCTTGATACGGACTCACGCATGGACAGACAGATGTAGAGATGGACAGGCTGACTGAGGAAGAAGGGAGGACAGCACGGGAGGGGTACTGAGTTCAGGACAGAGACGGAGACGAGAAAATGGTCTTCCTACGGAGCGAAAAGGGCAAAATCCCTCTCTTTCCCCATTCCTGACCCTCAGTCTTCCATCCTCCCTCTACATAGGCATGCAGAGTGTGGACAGATCCCTGCAGACCGCTGGGCTTCTAAGGCGAGGGGAAACGCCGCCGCAGTCTCACAGGCAGATGGGCTCCTGCTGCCGGAATCCCGGCGCGGGTGGGAAAGCTAGATTGCTGGGAAGTCTTCTTCGGGAAGAGGCAGCCAGGTCCCGGTTTCCGGGGAGAGCCGCGCACGCAGCGGCAAAGGGCCCCCGAAGTTCATTACCCCGTGACTTTGTGCCTGTGGCTGTGGGCTGGGTCCTCTGTAATATCTCCAGAAGCGCTCTGACAGGCAGCCGCGGGGAGGGGAATAGGGCGTCCCTGGCCCACTTAGCTTTTCCCCCAACTCCTGGCGGGGTCTGACGTCAGCCATGTGCGGGGAGGAGATGGGAAGAGGGAGGGGGTTAAATGCTAATGATATTAATGAACCTCCAAGCGGCTCCCAAAGAAAATGCAGGCGCTTTCTGAGCTGAAGAGTTAGAGTGTGAATATGGGAGTGTGACTCTGTGCGTGCGTGATGGTGAGGATGGTGCTGTTCTTGTAATAAAAATGAATTATTAGATTTCGTGGCGAGAGGGAAGGGGAGGGGTGATGGGGCTTTCTCAAAACGCTTTCCCCCTTCTCTCTAGAGTGCCAGAGATTCGTGGAAGAAATGGGGTAGCCGTGTGTTTGTGTGTGATTGCGCGCGCCCGACATGGCCATGTGAGTTGGTTCATTCTTGGTCCCGCGCCCCTTCTGTTGGGTAAAACTTGGATCTGGCCCGAGGTGAGTAATTTATTCATTTTGCAACTATCTACGGAAAGTCAGAGCTGAGGACGCTTGCGTGCTACTTGGGGCCTGGGATGGGGTCTTCCCGAGGTTCCGCGTCCCTGCGGCCTTCGCGCGGGGGGTGTGGGCACCAGCCACCAGCCGCCGGCAGGGCGCCACTGCTGCCCCCCGACACCA